AAAATCTATGGGTTCCTTCCAGACTAGTAAGGTTTGATGAATCAAGATCACCTGAAGCAGTGGCCCAGGCGATCCAACATCTAAAACAGCTGAGATGATGCAGCCTTGCAGACCAAAAAAATGAGGAGTTCACCAGGTTTCTGGTTTTTCTTGTCATGATCCCCATGGTATTTCAGTGTCCCCTAACAGCAGGAAGTAGTTTGGAAAGAATGGTGTCCACATTCCCAAATATTGTTTATAAATGTTTATTTTCATTTATACAGGCTTGGTTATTGATACAAACTTAAGGTCAATTTTGTGAGTCATCTCTGAAAAAAATTTTGGTTAAAAGCCTGGCCTCTCCACTCTGCATCTGCAGAATTACAAGGAGTGGGTACGGATGTAGCCCCTGAGTGTAGCTCAGAACGTCTCAAATGGTGGGATGATGAGCAGCACACAGGACTTTTTCAACCTTTTGTCTTATTTCAATGATTGGCTGGAGCTATTCTGTCACAAGTGATTTCAATTAAGGAAGTTTCATTTTAACAAACTAATCATGACCTAGGGAAAAAGGATGACTAAAAGATGTATGTTCTGTATTATGGTGTGGCCACATCTGTATGTATTAAATGTGATTGTGAATGCGTGAAGGTGAACTACTTTAATTGCCTTGGATATGATTAAAAGGATACTTAAATTGCCTCAGATATAGTTAAGAACCTACCTAAGTTGCTTTGGATATAGCCAAAAAGAACATCCATCCAGTCAGTGTTTTAACAGGAAAGGTTGGCTATTTGAGCCCTCAGAGCCAGTCAGTGGAAAAATAACAGAAGCCCGTAGCATGGCCTAAGAGCAAAGGAATGATTCTATAGAGTTTAGCAGAGGAGAGGGTACAGAAATTCTCCTAAATTTTTATGGTTAGAAAAAGAAATCTAGGTAAAAAAAGTTTTTAAGAAAAAGCTCCAGAAAAACTGCTGCCCTGTTAAGACCCCACCTACAAAGGAGTCAGTGTAGATACAAATTAGGTCATGTCAGCTAAGATACAAGTGAGGCCTTGTTAGCTTTACAAATTGGATTAGAAAAAGAGTATTTACACACTTCAAGTAATTTTCAAAAGTTATATGGGACATATGTTATAGCTTAAAGGCTCCTGCTCACATGTGGTACACATGAATTAATGCAGGCATAGAAACACTCATGAACATAAATAAAAAAACTAAATAATTTTTTAAAAAAATGCTTTCCTCTTTATCATCTTGAGATATACACACAATATTTATTTACTTATTTGCTCATTTATTTATTTGTTTTAACAATCTGGAGCAAGTGTTTATGTGGACACATATTTTTGCATAGGAATTACATTAGTAAGTTTATTTTAGCATATTTAATAGCTGACAAATTACTCTTGAAAGTGTCCATCTGTCTATTTTCTTACCATTGTACAGAGGTTTCAGTGTTTCTATATCCCCATATACATTTGCTTTAGAGTTCCATTTTATAAAAGCCTTTTTATTGATTTTCTTGTGGATTTCCCATCATGCATTCCAATCCCATTCATTTCCCCATACCATCCCTCTACCCTTGCATCCCCCACACACAAAAAAGAAAAAATTAAAAGTAATTAAAAAAACAAACAACAAATTATGATTATCCCTCAAAAATGAGATGAAAAACAAAATAACCAATTCTACTTGAGAGTAAGGAATGTTTAAATTTTTTTATTTATGCTTTTTAACTAAAGGAGCTCCTTTAATAGTAGAAGACACTCCGGTACTTCGAAGTTTAGCATTTTCACGAATAAAATTGTGTGGAATTGGTGGCATGCTGTCATATGTCTTGTTAGTGGCATCAATTTTAGCTTTTATATGTATCATTGATTTCGGTAATGGAGGTAACCCATTTATTTCATACAGCCAATATATTTCATCTGTCTGAAAATTGAAAGGAAGACAAGTTATAAGAAAGGTCCAGAGACCTAAAGGAATTTGGGAAATATTTATCATTATTAGTAGCTTCTAATTTTTGTATGTGCTAATGGAAAGATAAAATAATGTTGAATCTATAATGAAAAATACTTAATACAGAAATAAATTAAGTAAATCTATTGGCATTATGAATAAAGGAACAGTCACTGATAAGAAAATCTCTTAGCCAAAGGTCTGCCATGTAGGTAAACAATGTCTTCCAAGATGTACTTTTAAATAAATATTTAACTGTGATCACAGAGATGATTGGCAAATTACAGTAATGTGATTTTTGGATTATTAAATGCTAAAATATTAAAAGTATATTTATTATTATTTATATATTTGGTCTTTGGTCCCCGACATTTTTTGGACTTTTCATTTGAGTTTCTCCCCAGAAACTCCAGCACGTGTTTCAGCTGGCTTTGTATCCTCAATTATCTGAGTCCACTCCTTAATTAATAACTGCAATGGTGTAAAGTCGTATATAAACCCCCTATATTCCTGCCCACCTTGGGCATGAATTTTTTAAGGTTTAAATTCTACACAATTTTTCAGCTATCTGTAATGGGATTAATTTTCAGCTTCTCACTGTAGTGGAAGATATTATTAATCCTCTTTCCTTCTGTATTTCACATACTACCTTCCCTGTATGTATTTCTTGGTATTATATAACAAATAGGCTACTTAAATTCAAATTCTTATTCAAGGATCTGCTTCCAATGAAATCAAAAGAAAATACATTTTTAGAATGCCCTTTCCTATTGTCTCATGCTAATGAAAAGCTTTCTTTAGAAGGAATATAGAATACATACTTATATTTGTGTCTCCAGTTATAACAGGAACATACAATATGACATATATTTTGTATTATAAAATATATTAATATATGTATATATTATTTTTATGCAAGTATGACCATAAAACATCATTTCTTTCATATTCTATAATTCTAATGGTTAATTTTTTTGAGTTTGTGTAGTATGTGTGCAGGTATGTACACCTATGTGCAGGTAACTGTGTTTGTGTGTACATGTATGTGGAAGCCAGAGGTTGGTGTCAGGTATCATCTTTGATTGCTCTTGCCCTTCCTTTTTTTGAGACAGGTTTGCTCAATAAATTTAGAGCCCATTGATTAGACTAGGCTGGCTAGCCAAGGAACTCCAGTGATCTGCCTGTCTGCTCCTTTTCATGCTGGAGCTATATGTGTGTGCCACTATGCCTAAATTATGAGCAACCTAGGAGTTTGAACTCAGGACTTCATGCTTGCACAACAAACACTTTACCAATTAAGCCATCTGCCAGCTCCAGAATTCATCAACTTGTTTATAGTTATTCAGGAAAACTGATTAGATTTTCTACTCCTCTGGAGCAGCACTACTTTTGATAAAATAAATGGAACAACTTAATTTCCTTCTATCAAACCTAATGTTTTTTTCTTGTTTCCTAATTGTAGAACAACAGGTTTTAAACATTCTAAAGATGTCTTAGTTGAACAAAAAATTATAAGGCATAAGAACATGATTGATTATTCAGGTTTGTCTAGGCAAGATTAATTAAATCTATTCTTATAAGGTATTCCTTTTTCTGAGTGAAGTAGAATGAAGACCGTATTGTTGTAACTACTGCTATCATGCTTAACCTAAGTATTTACAAATGACAATGGTGTAAATAGCAAGTTGAATTTAGATAACTGTAACATGAGAGTAAGTATAAATGCTGTTGAAATTAACTGGGATTTGGAGTCAGAGTGTATCAACTGCTATTTTTAAGAATGGTGATTTGATATATGCAATAAGTCTTACGAATATCCAGTGTGTAATTCTGCTTAATATAACAATTTTAAAATTTTGTAGAGTAATATTATATTTATAGATAGAATTTCATCTCTGTGACCCACAAAATTGTAGAAAAGTACTAACTTCAGCAAGTTGTCCTCTGAACTTTACACACACGCACACATACTATGTCATGTACATGCTTCCCCCTACAGATGAATATATGTGAAAACACATTAGAAATACCAAAATTGGTATAAGGACTCTGAAAATAATTTAAATGTTTAGGTATCTTACTATACAGTTTTTGGAAATCATCATTGGAGGAAAATAAAGTCTTCATAGAACTGTATGTGCTATGTTCCTAATTTCCGTTAAATTTACATATATTTCTCAAAATTGAAAAAATAGATTTAGGATTTATCTATAAATTTTAATACTAAATCAATATATGAAATAGGGTTTAACATGTTTTTATATCTACAAATATGCCAATGAGCATATGAAATTACATATTCTATTTTTGCACACATTTGGAATTTTATGTAATAAAAATTAAATAAGTAAGCTGACATTTCCTTTCCTTCTCTTGTTGTGAGTTGATTCTCATACCGAAGCCCAGGCTGACGTATAAATCAGAATCCTTTTGCCATTACCTACTGAATGCTGAGATTACAAGAATGTCACAAAATTCTGGCAAATAATTATTAATTTTAAAACATTTTTCAAAATCAATTTGTCTCCCACATAAGCTCTTATCAGTATTTCAAATAACAGTGGAGGCAATGAATAATATGAGGCAAGGCAAAAGAGGTTTCACTGCTTATGTCCTACATTCTATAAAATCGTAGAACAATGAAAACAGAAAGTCTCTCAAACAATCACTAAATTTTATTTTCAATGATCATTAAAATAATTACATTTTATTCTGCTATTTGATTTAAAAGTTCAGGGATTTCTTTGGCAGCAAGAGTTGTAGGCTTATAATATGACAGCAACTGTTTTGTGTCTATGCAACTGAAAGTAAGCTGTGGTAAAATAGTTACACTTTTCAAAGAATTTGAAAGTTGTTTTCATCCCCAAATTTCTCACTATAAAGTGTGTATGAAATTCTATGAAGATAATTCTTTACTGGCTAAATTTTCAAAACTGTAATTACCTTAACTGAAATGTAAGTAATTCCTTAAATTTTCCTAGTATTAACAAATTATTTTGTTATATTCCATACCTAAATTATTTGGCTTTGAAAATTAAAGTTGTGGTTTTGAAAACTTACCTGTATTACAAGTGTTGCTTGATATTTCTTACTATACATTCGGGGTTTAAATCCTACAACGATGACAATTCCTTTTGTGTAAAATGGAGGGAGTTCACCAGATTGAGGTTTTACAAAAAAATCTCGATCACCACCTGGCAGAAAATGGGCTGTAAATGGCTCATAATACCTAGGAAAAATAAATGAAATGTTTCAATTGGTCATTACCTCATTGACTCTGTGATGATGGCTAAATTTTAAATTCTGCTCCAGCAGACCCATAGTTCAAAATTAATACCGAATACTTACAAAAATGTATGAGGTGGCATTTTGAAAATTACAAAATAGAGTCTCTCCTAGTTTTCTGAAATAAAACACCATGGTCAAAATAACTTAGGAAGGAAAGGTTCATTTGGCCTATACTTTGCAATCATTTTCTATCATCGAGGTGGGTCAAGGCAGGATCTCAATCAGGAGCAGAGGAAGAAACTAGAAAACCACTACTTACTGGGTTGCTTCCCATATTTAGCTTGCTTGTATAACCAAGGATCATTTTTCCAGTGATGGGGTCACCCATAGAATGCTTAGCCTTTTCACATTAATCATTAATCAAGGTAATGACTAACAGACAAGCTCATAGGCCAATCTAATGGAGGGGATTTCTCAGCTGATGTTCCCTCTTCTTAGGTATCTCTATAGTTTGTGTCAAGTTGACAAAAATTAACTAGCACACTATCATTCTTATTCTCAGGGCGGCTGAATAAAATTCCAAAGTTTTTTCATTTATTTCCAGTGTTCATAGTATACTAAGATAAATGTTGTTCCTATAAAAATTGTTCAAACTCAGTAAGTATCCCAGATGAAAGCTTAGTAATTTGTAAATAAACTGACCACTAAAGCTATGGTAAAGCCTTTTGTCTCTACTGCTGTCCCATTATACTATTTTCTTACTTACCAGTAGCTATCTACATGCTAAGTACAAGGAAACTACTAAAGTCTCAATAAAAATTTATAGGTATCAAGATAGAATATTAAAGTATAAAGTGGAGTGACATTCGTGTTTCAAGTTACCATTTCATGCCACTATAGACAAATGAGAAAAAGAATGTTAATTAAGTCGAAAAATTTCTTAGTTTAATAAAACAGGGTAGTGGTACACTACAAAAAAGTTTTTAAATTCAGAATTTAAGATAAATTAATAGAGATGCATGTAAAATACCACATGTTCCTGCTAAAAACAGGTACAATAGTGCAACACAGAAAAAGACAGGGGAAAGTTCAGGTTGTTACTCTCTGATCCATTCAATAAACAAGTATTGCTTATCATAGAAGAAGACTGGAGAACATGTTCTGTATATACGGGTGTCATAGTTTGAATGATAGCGCGACATATAATTTTAGGAAGCTTACTTAATCTTTTGTACCTACGTTTTTTTATTTCTTAAATTAATAAAAAGTCAAGTTGTTGAACCAATGCCTAACACATGGAAAGTAGTTTGAAAGGAGAAGCCAGTATCAATTTATTCATCATTATCATTGTGATTTTAAAATATTTTGTAAGCAGTGCTAGGAAATGATGGGCGATGCAATACATGAGGGGGATAACACGGAGTACCTAAAATGATTACAACAGGAAGATGACAGACAGAGATCCCTTATCCTGACAGAGATCCACCCAGAAATAATATATTGAATGATTATCTTTGTGAAGAACCAAGAAACATTTTAGAAGATGGGGTTACAGTTATATAATTGCCGTATTTGGCTTCTAGGCTTTGTTAAGAAATGGTGTGTGTGTGTGTGTGTGTGTGTGTGTGTGTGTGACAGGGTTTCTTGTATTCTAGGCTGGCCTCAAACTAACTATGTCGCAAAAGATGCCTTTAAAACTTTGATCCTGTTGCCTATTCTTTCAGGGTGTTGAGGTTAAAATAATGTAACACTATGCCAAGTTTATGCAGTAATGGGGATCAAGCCGAAGCCTTCCTGTGTGCTAGGCACCAACTGCACTATATCCTCATCCCACAGACATTTTAAAATGAGAAAAACTAAAATAAGAAAGAAATTAAAGTAAATAAATACTCTAATGGATGTCTCATAAATAAAAAGATACACAATAGAAGATTATATGAAATTATATTTAATAATATTTGACAATTGAGAAGGAAATCCACAAATCCATAGAAAAATGAAACCTATCAATGGACTGGTTAAATAGGTCCGTACAAATTATTTTAGTAGTAATTTAAAACTTTCCTATGAAGAAAATTACACCATCAGATACCTTCTTAGATGAATGCTATCTGCAATTCAAAGAAGAGGTATTATCAACAGCATCAATTCATTTTTAAACTCACCCTAAGTAACTGTACCTAATATTATATCTCCCCATAATAGAGAAAGAACAAACTTCATCAGGAGTTATCAGAAACAGATACACGTTAGGGTAAATATAAGTGAATAAATACCTAAAAAGACAGTAAAATTATGAGTTGGCTTATTGAATAAGCCAAGCCAACAAAGTTCAACCAAGATACCAGAAATATAGACATATAACCTTAAAAAGAAAGAAGTTTAAAGTAAACAAAAGTGAAGGGTAACATATAAGAGACATTTTGGAAATAAAAATAAAAATAATCATCAGAAACTAGTTAGCACAATCATAATTGAAAATTTAACCAGACCTTTAAGTAACAATGAGATTATGTCATCCAGATGGTTTCACTAGTTTTAAATCTTATTACATTTTATTTTTGTGTATGTATGTAAATGCACATATGTATGTGTATGAGTACATGTGTGTATGTATATATATATGTGCATCCATGTGTTTGTGTGTGTGAGTACATGTGAGCCAAGGAACATGTGTGGATGACAAAGGATATGTTGTGGGAGTCGGTTATTTTCTTCTACGATGTGGACTTGTCATGGATTGGGACCAGGATCCTGTACACACTGAACTATCTTGCTAGCCCATCTAACATGCTCTTTAAAGAAGAGTTAACATATACTCTGTCAAACTCTTCAATACTGAAGAGAAATGAAATAAAAAACTTTACTATTTCATTAATGAGGCCATTATCAACCTGATTTTAAAAGCAGGTACTGACTGTGTAAAACAAATAAAATTATGGGTGAATTTCTTTGATGGATATAGAATCAGACTACTAATAAAAACAATTAATTAGCACATTTAAAGAATTATACATGGAAACCAAGTAAGTTTTCCTCTGGGAAGAAACTAAGAGAAAAATATACACAAGAAGTTGGTATATGCATATTCATGGACTGCTAGTACTTCTAGGGACTAAACCAGGACTACTTGGATAACAGTAGGTGTATGATGACAGAAATACACTAGTTTTAGTTAAAAAGAAATAATGGAAAGTGGAAATTAGAACAGGGGAATTCAGAATCCATTCTAGAGGGCTCAGCCCCAATTAAAGTATATTCTTCACTCAATGTGAGGTTCAGAACATTCTAAGGCACAGCCTCAGAAAATTCGGATCCTTGATAATAACTAGTTTAGATAATGAACTTGACGCCTACACTATATGCCATCCTAGAACCTTCATCTAGTGACTGATGGAAGCAGAGGCAAACATCCACAATTAAACACTGAACTGAACCCATGGAACCCAGTAACACAGAGAGAGGAGCAATGAGCAAATTGGTAAAGAATGGGCTGACAAAACCAGCAGAGACAGCTGATGTGAACAAAGGGGAGCTTTTGAACCACAGACCAACAACTGGGTGGACAGCATGGGACTGATCTAGACTCCCTGAGTGTGAGAGTCAGTGAGGAGGCCTGGGCAATCTATGGGGCCTTGGGCAGTAGATCAGTGTTTATTCCTGGCATACAAATGGACTTCGTGTGTCCATAACACAAAGGCGGATGCTCTCTCAGCCTGCACTCTTAGGGGAGTGTCTGGACCCTGCCCTGAGTGAAATGACAGACTCTGTATATCACTTATGTGGAAGGAAGTGGGGAGAGGGTGGGAGGCTGGGGGGGGATGGTTGGGGGGTGAGGGAGGAGGGGAGGGAGAGGGAACTTGGATTGACACGTGAAGCAAGCTATTTAAAATTAAAGTAATAAAAAAACAAAAAAAAAAGATTTACAAAGCAAATCCAGTACACATCAAAATGATCATTCACTGAGACCCACTATGATTTATTCTAGTATGAAAGTGTGGACTTAGATACACAAATCTATAAATGCAATACATCAAACTAATAGACTCAAGGGCAGGAATAAAACAAAAGTTTCATAGATGCAGAAAGAGCTTTGATAGATTCTAACATATTTTCCTGACAAAAGACCTAAAAGAAATCTATAATAAGACTATACACTAGTGTATAAAAGCCTGTATATGACAAACCTATAGTCAACATTATACAAAATGGAGAAAACTCAAAAAGTATTTTTAGTAACACCAAGAGTTGAGTATGCCTGCCTACTTACTTCATTATTATTGTATATATACATTGAAGTTCTATCTTGAATAAGACAAAAACATAAAAAATACAAATAAGAAAAAATCAATTTATTCCTGTTTAGAGATGGTTCTTGCACACAAGAAAACCGAAACAATGCAACATAAAAATATTACGATTAATAAATACTTTCAGTAGAGTAAGAGAACACAAAGCCGGCATAAAAGTAAATAGCTGTTCTATATACTAACAACAATCATGCTGAGAAATATTTAGGAAAACAGCCTCATGTTAGCAGTTTTTAAAAAATCTGTAAACATCCTATGAATGGAGTTAACAAATGTAAGGAGTTTACAGTACAAATTTTAAAACAGTGAAGAAATTATGAAACCATAAAAGATGGAAATATCCCCCGTACTAATTAACAGAATTAATATAATGAAAGCAGATATATTACCAAAAGGAACACACAGATTTAATGTGAGCATACCAAAATTTCAATAACAGTCTTCACTGAAGCAGAAGAACATAATCCTATAATTTGTTTATGTGTTCAGAAATGTCTGGATAGCCAATGCAATTCTGTATCAAAAAGAGCAATGATGGAAGTAACACAATAGAAGATATAAAAATGTAATTCATACTAAGTGTAATAAAACAGCATGCTACCGATATTAAAGCAGGTGCCAGTAGATCAATTGAATAGACTAGCAGACACGATTAAAAACACTCATCTCTTAGCCACCAGATTTTTAACAG